ATATTTATTACCCAATTATCTTTACTTTTTAAAACTAATCTCACTTTAAAGACATTTATGACCCCACTATCACTTTTCTTTTCACTTTTTATTTATAATATTTATTTTCTCATATACCAGATATATATTAGATAAGCATTGCTTTGTTTTTGTTTTTATTATTTTCCTGAATATTCTCATGATTAGGCGTAGAAAAGAAAACATCTTTTTATTTGGATTATTATTTTCTTAATGTTATATTATTCTTTTTTTTTTTAATTTGTTATATTTTTTTCTTATTTCTTATTTTTTTAGACTACCTATCCCACCCAAGTATTATCCAAGACTCTCATATAAATATGCACTTGCTTAAGTAGATGTTTGAAATTGATTAATTTGATTGCTTGATTAAACTTGGTTATGTGAAGTTGAACTTGTTTGTGACTATTATATTGTTATATGTAAAAATATGTATTAAAAAATTGGTCTCATGAGGCGAAGGCTTTTAACTAGAGAGAACTATCCATCAAACACCTCACTCACGCCTTTCCCTTTTAAAATATTGCTTATAATAACCGTGCATAATTACTACAATCATTCGAATTGGTCTTGTTGCATGCAGGTACGGCTTTTGAGATTGGAGATGCCGTGGCCAACAGGGCTGTGGATGCTTTGATGGGTCCTCGTCATGTCACTGCGCTGCCGCTGCCGCTGCTGCTTCTGCTGATCCTGCTGTCCTTGCTATTTCTGCTCCTCCAGCTCCTGCTGCTGCACACTACAAACCATGGCTAACACAAGCAGTATCAGTGGTTCAGATGCCTGCAGTATCACTCCAAGGCATTCCAAGATGTATGCAATGCTCGCTACGTCCTTTTCCCTTCATTATTTTCCTCAAGATTTATTGTGTCAGTGACCGTTTGCAGTTTTCGCTTTTTTCGAAAACTACAAACTAATTATATGATGACCTTTGGGTTTTTTGGGGCAAATAATTATACAAAAAACTAGATTTTAATCCCTAAATAAGATGAAGTTTAGAAAAATGTCTTATACAAGCTTAAAAATTAATTTTAGCCCCAAGACTATTTAATGCTAGCATATGTATTCAATGTTTCTTTTTTTTTATTTACAATTTTATGAATTTAAATTTTATGAAAATATTATAAATTTTAATTCTCATTATGGTAGGCATCTTATATAAGAAAATATTTTCGTAGAGATTTTTCGGTACACTTATGTTTTTGCATATTTTCTTATCTGCCACTAATTCATAAAAATATATTTAGGTACGAACATTTCGGTACAATAGGTTAGTATAATATGTTTAGGTACAAACATTTCGATACACTAGTTTAGTATAATATATTTAGGTACTGACATTTCGGTGCACTAGTTTAGTATTATATAATTAGGTACGGAATTTTGGTACACTTATGCTTTTACATATTTTCTTATCTATCACTGATTCATTATAATATATTTAGGTACGGGCATTTCGCTATCCTAATTTAGTAAAATATATTATGATATGGATGTTTAGATACACTAGTTGAAGAAAGTTAAATAAAATTGTATAATGATAAATTTAAAATTTAATGTAATAACATTAAATAAGTTATCTATTAAATATAAAAACTTTGACAAAAAAATTCTATTAATTATAAAAACAAAAATATAATATGAATTTGAATTAAGTACACATTAAAAGTCTAAAATCAATAATTAATCTAACATCAGATTTTTTTTAATTTTAATCTTCTTGAAGAATTAAAATTTAAAAACCCCATAATTATATGACCACCTTTGTGCAGTGCATCAACGAATTTTAAGTGATATCAGCAATTTTAAGTGATAAGCTGTACGAGTGCAAGAAAAATTCCAGCATGTTGAATGCTTAAGCATTGCTTCCTTGCAAATGAATTCCTGTGCCTATCATGATGGTGAATTGGTTGTCTATTTGTGGGGGAAGGATTCATATAAATCTTTATATTAGTAGCCCTTCTTATTTGAACTCGATTCGATCTGTGCTTGTTTATTGCGTTCATGTTTTTTTTTTTTTTTTTTTTTATTAAATTTGGCCACAAAGTCCATCCCACTCCAGTATTGTTATCATGGGAAGAGACTTTGAAGAGAATTTATTGATAAACAAGAAAAATACAATATGTCAGGGGAACATGAGGCCAAACTCAGACAATTAAATAATTCATAACCACAATTGAAAACCTCTTTTAGCAAAACCTATAACAATGAAGCTTAGAAAGGCTCTGAGAATAAGCAGCTGCAGCACAAGAAGGGCATGAATCCCACCTATGGACACCAAGGTGCTCAACACTATAATTGGCCAAATAATCAGCAACTTGATTATCCTCTCTAAAAATATGAGAAATCTGAACCTGTATGGAGGATAGTAAAACTTGACAGTTATGCTAACTGACCAAAAGCCTCCATGGGATAGATGTCATGGAAGGTGAGGATGAAGAGAGAAGATGAACAGAAGCCCCGTCAACTTTTGAGTCCTTTAGCCTTTTCGCAAAGCCAAAATCCGCCAACTTGACATTTCCGGAGGATCCCAAGAGCACATTCTTGCCCTTGAGGTCACAATGCACAATCCCACTTTCATGAAGATACTGTAGGCCGTGAACAATCTCTCTGGTGTACAACCGAACCACCTCTTCCTCCAATGCGCCACCGAATATCTGTGACACATTTGACAAACTACCCCCTGCCATATACTCCATGAACACATTGATGCATTTCCCTTCACCATTTTCCCTCCCCATACATTTAACAACGTATGGGGAATTCAGACTCTCGAGAATCGAGAAAGAATCTTAACGTCTTTCTCGAGAGCATCAACTCCATCCCTTGACTGCGCAGATTTCACAACAAAAAGCGCTCCTGTGGCTTTGCTCATGGCCAAATGAACACTGCCATAAGAACCAGACCCGACCAGTTTGCCCTTCATCCACTCACCGGGCAGAGGAGATGTGCACTGATTGCGATTCACCGCCATGTCCCTTCTGATATTTTAAACTGGATAAGAAAACAGGATGATGGAAAAAAAAACATGGCAACAGTTCCAGATTGAATGGAAATCGGAAACGTAAACAAAACAAGGAATTAATTTGGGATTAAACAGGAACTTCAATGACAGAATTACTCTCGTACTTTGATGGTAGTCAGATTTTTCAAAACAATTAAAGCTCATGAAAAAAACTGTAATGATGGTAGAGCGGTTTCCCTCTCGATGGAAAGCCGCTCTAGCAGCAAGAGATTTCTCCTGAAGTTTTACTAAGCAGACAAGTTTGATATTCTCCTCCTTTTTTTTAAGATACAATTTGATGTGGGATTTAGAATTTTTATGAAGTCTGATAGGAAGGAAAAAAAAACTGTTGGCCATCCTAGCCTTGTGGAACACCCTCGAGTCCTATCGGCCAGACGTAATGGTCCCTGCCACGTGACAGTAACTACAACTTAATTCAATTTCTTCATACATAAAAAAGAACGGTTATTGAGGCATTAAATTTCTTGCCGTTCATTTCACTTAAGTTGGAATTTCATCCCTACGAATTAATGGATTATAGTAGTTTAAAACGTTGTTTCTAGAAATTAGTCACTCCTTTTTATCACGTGCGTCGCTCCCAACTTACAGGTTATTGTTTTGCTCCATGTATTTGTGTACGGGTATACAGATCGATTGGTTACAAAAGAAAAAAAAAATGCAACTCTTTGATGTTTTGTGGTCATTAAAATATACAATTTGATGTTTCATGGTCAGGTTTTCCCGTTGATTTCGAACAATTTTTTACATTCGATTGTTTTTTTCTGGTTGTATTAACAGAGGGCAATTTGAGATTATTTGAATGTTTAACCATAACGCCTTCTGCCTAAATAATATGGACTAACCTTCATGAACAGGCTCAAGCGTGTGTAGAAAATATTTTTTGAATCACGGCGTACTACGCGCGATTTATACGTTTTAAATGTATTTATTTGCATAAATTGACAACAAATATTTGAAGTAAATGAATAATTTTAGATTATGCTAGAAGAAATCTCTCATAAACCAATTATAGCAGCCGAATTTACATAATAAAATCGGTCTCTATAGAATTTACTTTAAGAATATAGAAAATAATATTTAACAAACAATTGATTGAATCATATTATTACTAGCTCATTGTGAGGCTAAGACCACCCCTCATCCCCTTAATGTAAATAATATCGTTTGTTTAAAAAAAAAAATCATTTGACAATTAATTTAATCACATTATTATCTGTATGCGAAAGACATTTTTTATAACCGGCATTACACAACTCTTAAAATATTTTGAACGTACTTAAAAATAGAGAAAATAATATTTAAAATATACAATTTGATGTTTCATGGTCAAGTTTTTCCGTTGATTTCGAACAATTTTATATATTTGATATTTTTTTTTTCTGGTTGTATTAAAAAAGGCCAATCTGAGATTATTTGAATGTTTAACCATAACAGTGTATTAAAATTCCAAGGCGTGGGTAAGGCATCTGAGGGATAGCCTGGCCTAGGTCTGAGGTGTGAGGCGAAACCTCCCGGAACCTAAATTTTTTAATATATACACACATATATTATATTAAAAAAAGATTGTTAATCAATAATCATCCTGAGCACACACATATATTATAAAAATATATACATACATATATATATATATATATATAATAGAGGATGAAAAGTACAATAAGCACACATAAATGAGGCAGTTAAAACCCAACCCAAAATTTGGGTTTGGGAGTTATAAAAAAAAAAAAAAAAAAAAAAAAAAAGAGCCAAACAGAGGTGCCTGGACACCCTGAGGTGCACCTCCGCCACCTAGGCGACTCCAACTAAACCTTCCGCGCACTCCCTCAAAACAGAGGTGGCAACCCTCACGTCCAGCTTCAGAGGCCACCTAGACGCACCCTGAGGCAAGCCTTCTAAAACATTGAACCATAATGCCTTCTGCCTTAATAATACAGATATAGATAAAAACAAACCACTATTAAAAGTTGGATCCAAAATTTATAAGGAAAATTGAAGAGCACAAGGAAGTTGCAGATCTTTTTATACAACTTAGGAGATTTATAGAATGGTAATATACGCAAATACCTTCTAATCAAACTGGTTTTCTTCTTATTGAATGTACAGCACCAATATGTGGTATAAACATCGATTTATTACAAGAATCACGATTCAAGATGCTATACGCGGGCAGAAATTTCACTCACAGCCACATCCTCTTGCAGGTATAATCGAAAACAGTCTGCAAAATACTTCTTGATGATTCCTCGGGTGGCAACTTTAGAAGCTGAGCCACTTTCGAGAATCCAGCCTTGTGCCTAAGCAAAATAACTTCATCCACTTCTAATTCCGTCTCCTGCTTGAACAACGGTGGTTTTGTTAAAGCCCACTGCATTGACCAAATCGCCAGAGGGCGCATGTAAGCTAAAGATCTGTATTCACCGCTGGTGGTCCAAGCTTCAGGAGTCTGAAAAGAGTATCTGTCGATATAAAATGATAAAGGAGTTAGGAAGAGAGAAACAGAGAGCAGATAACATGTACATCAATACGTTGAGTTAACAAGAAATTGACAATAAGTGAGCCAACATTTAATGGATCATATATCCCTTGACTCCCTTCAACGAGATTGTTGACAATCTCCAGTATGGCCGCATTTCAGAAACTTGGAAGAGAAGTCATGTATTGCCATTTGTTTAAGCTAACATCCAACATAAACTTTAAACACATATGGTGCTCTCATAAACTCAATCTGAAACTCGTGACAGTAAAATTCACAAATATGGATGGATATCAGGCTCAAGCTGTTCCTATAAGTTAAAAGTTCAACTGAACTTGGAGACAGAGATGATAGTTGTGATTGTGGTGATGAGAGGTTTTTTCTTTTATACTTTTTCTTTCAAGGGTAAATCTGGTTAACGAAATATGCACAGAGGAGGGGCTAATATGAGCAAATTTGGAGGTTACACAAGAACCACCCTATGGTTATTTGATGTCCGACTTCTACCAATCTTGAGCTTTCGAATTACTGATTGTAAGTTAACTCACCCAAGTCCTTCTTTGGACCATCCAGCTTCATAAATTCCCTCCGCAGTATGAAATCCCATATCAATTGCATCTTCCTGAATCATCGATGCAGCTACAGCGTATGTAACTCCGGACCATATTTCTCTTGACTGCAATGTTGACATGTCAACCTTTCCATTAGGTAGCATCCCGTTAACAGCCCCTCGTCTTCCATCCTCAAACTTTAGGACATTGTAATTATAAATCTTTTCCAGTGCACTTCGTGCCTTGTCTTCGTCAACAATTGGCAAAAGACCACATGCTCTGGCATACCTACAAAGTAGCTAGACAGTAAGTTTTAATTCATCGCCATGCATTACTAAAGAACAAATAACCACATGATTTCCCCAAAGTACTGAATAGGTCATGACTAAAGAGAATAACTTCACCGTGTGTGATGGTTTTGTGAAAGGAATCTCTTGATTGGCATGAATAGATGACATTCAAAATATCTAAAATGTTAGTTGAGTCACAACATACCATTGTCCGGCCAGTTGATCAGCTTGAATTGATGAACTAGAAGCTTGACCACTGTTGTCATAATTAAAGTAAGATCCATTCCATAATTTCGCATACACGGCTTTTGCCTTCTGAAACTTTTGCCAAAAATAAACTTCTGAACCCTTGTCACCTACTTCTCGTGCCATGCCTGATGCAGCCTGCAATGCTGCTACCCACAGCCCACCACTATATGCACTCACACCATAGACTGACCACGTATCATAAGTCTGATCTGGGAAGCCATCATTCTCGATCATTCCATCTCCATCTTTATCAAATTGTTCCATATAAGCCATTGCAACATAAACAGCGGGCCAAACGGCTTCTGTAAACTTCTTATCACCCGTGGCAACCACATCCCTGTAAACTTGGAGAACAAACTTGGGATTCAAGTCTTTCCACCTATCTGTGTTATACAGGTTATAAGCATTTACTTCAAACCAGGGGTCATGGAGGCCGATATCATGAGGAACAGCTCCAAGAACCTTTCGTTGGACCCACCTTCCATCACAGAGAAGTCTCATCTTACTGGGGTCGTGCATCATTACTGCTGCTGCAAAGTCTCGTTGGATGCTGAGTTGAAGTTTTGGAAATAGCATGACTAGTGCAAAAGATGAGTAGAAATGGACATCGTAAGTATTCCACATCTGATATTCAATTCCTTCAAGATAAAGGAATTGACCAATGTTTTCTTCTCCCTCCTGAAGGAGATTTGTTCCAAATGCAGAGTTTGCTGCTATGGGCGTGTGAACTTGCTCAAGTGTTGATGTCATCCTTCCAAGAATGTCGATAGCAGTATCATTTTGCTCGGGTGCATCAATGACGCTTTTCAAACCTAATGAGGACTTATCAAGGGAAAACTTCCTTTCTATAATACTTCTTAAGCTATGGACTGGAGGTGATCCATCTGCAAAACGATTTATATGAAAAAAAGATTAACTAATGTTTCACTATAACTGTCCAATTTCACCATGAAAAATCTCGAACTTAACAAATACCTGTCCAAACTGTGCCCCCGGAATTTAGAAAGTATAGCTCATTGAACAGAGTGACAGGGTACCTGCAGAGAACTTTGACATATCTTAGGAATCTGATCAGATCGGACACATGCTCAAATCAGATTAGATATCTAAAACTCACCATTCTGGAAGTCTCTTGTCCTCAAGAACTGGTCTTTGCCATGCTTCAATCTGGGATTCCCAATGGCGATGCTCTATGTTTCAAGGAAAATAGAATAAAAAACAAAGGATGTAAGGCAACCGATGACAATCAATGGATAACATAACAAAAGAAATGGTGAATTAGGATTTCTTAGTTAAAGGAGTAGGTGAGTTTCACACTCCTTTGTGTGACCAGGCGACAATATACTATGTGACCACTTCCTAGTTTATAGACCAATGTTCCTTTAGGGTTGGATGATGACACAAGGGTTATGTAAGAGTGACTGACCATGAATTAGGTACAATCGAATAAATAATTATATTTAACAGCCTTGAAAAAATTCACCAACGTGAAATGTATGCAATCAACCATTACCAAGAATGGCATCATGAGCAATATTTGCAGCAGCTTCCCCATGTGTTCCATAAAATTTAGTGTACCGCCTGTTTATAAACAAATTTCAGCACGTAAATAACTAAATACTATTCCACAATATCATATATTTCCCCCATGTGTTTGGCCACCCACCTGTGATACGCCTTCCCACCCCTAAATTTTGCTTCTGGGCAATCCCATGCCAATGAAAATGTTACAGTACGTACTTCACCAGATGGAACTGCCACAGACGCAGCAATGGCTGCCCCAATAGATGATCCGGGTTCTGAAGGTAATGGCATTTCTGCAGAATTAAGACGATCAAAGGATCCATGCTGTAACAAAAGAGGCACAAGTATCAAGGTTTTTGAAGAATAAGAATAGTTCGAATATACCAAAATCAAATGGGTCTCCTACCCAGCACCATTCCTTCAAGAGCATCAAATGATTAAATGAAAATCTCCCATAAAAAGACAAAATTGTTGTATATAGACCAGATATTTGGTACAATCAAAGTGTCGTTTGTAACAGTGAAATCTAGCCTTATAAACTACTTCCTTGTAACAATTAAAATACAAAGGGATGAAGACACTTCTATGACATGAAAATGTTAGCATAATCTGCTGACCTCTTTTATCTCACTCCACATGTCCTTAGCTGTGACACCCTTTGAGTCACCAGATATCACAAAGCAAGGGCACTCTGATACGTGAACACCATCAGTCTCCTGTGCTGCTATTGCAAATGTCACTGGGGACAGCCCATTTGCAGTCCTGTATCTGCAAATAATGAGTGTTACATGTAGATAACATAACAAACATGTCATAAATTGAGCAGATCATTTCAATAATTGTTTTCCATCAAGAAAGGAAACTTACTTGTGATGTAGAAGTACGCCATGCACGCCATCCTTCATCCTAAAAGGTTAAATACTGTGGGTTAGAGTAAATTTTAGTTAAGGTGATGAGCAATTGGGTACATTTAGAGATACATCAGGAAAAATATATATGCACCGCCATGTGTATAAGTACACATGCATGTTATTTAGAAAACTCAAAGGTCTAATTTGGAAATCCAAAGAGAAGTGAAGCTAACGACAAGATCTTACAATGCTCTTGAATTGGAGTGATGACCAGAAATTCCAGAAAGCCCTCCAACAGAATTCTGAATGGGACATGCCAAAATGATTTTGAATTAGTTGTAATGGCATCTCATGGGATAAGTCTCGATTCAAGATTGCCAAGAAAACATACAAAAAGAAAAAGATAAATAAAATAATTCACAAAAAATAAAAATGACTTACTGCCCAGGTGAAAAGCAGTGTGACATCAGCTGAAGTCTTCCCAGAATTATATAGCTGGAAAGAGAGAGAAAGAAAAAGAAAACTCCTGATACAGCTGCGACAGATTTTATGAAACCATATTTCTCACAGAACATTCTTACCGTATAAGTAAAAACTGAAACAGGCAGGCTGCTCTCCTTGTAATTATGGGGAATAAAAGGTGAAATTTGACGACAGACTATTTTGAGAGCTGGGTCAGGTTCACCTGCATTAAAGAGAAAATTATGACCCACAAAGAACATAATACCACTCAGATGTGTAACATTTGATGTATCTTACCGTCATAAACAGACCAAGCCCTTGGAAAAAGGGCATGATATGTAGAATTATCCCCTTTCAGATTCCAGTCCCAAGATCCAATCCCTGAAACTTGACTTTCTCTGTTCATGCACACAATATCAGTAAATTCGTTCATTCATTCATAGCGGTTCCTTATTATAATGAAAAGTAAACAAGTTTTTTTGCTTCATGTTTAGGAACTTACTTCAGATCATCTGGGCTCCTCGGACAGAGCACAGTAGAATATTTTTCACCATTGGTGCGGGAAACAAATACCTGGCACAGCATTTGTAATTCAGTAATTAAGGGAAGAAACTTTTACATCATCTTGAAAAAAAAAAAGGTCTAATAAGAAAGGCTACTGCAACTATTTGTTAAAATGATGATGAAATATTATCAGAAGGTTCCAGAAGGGATAAGAGCGAAGCTAAAAGGACGTCTATTGAGATTGTATCAGACATTTATGCATCTTATAACTTAAGGAAAAATCAAATGAAGGTTATGTAATGAGGTACCATAAAACTATTGATTTTTGTAAAAGATTTCAAAAGAAATCATGGACTTGAATTTGAAGGTTCTTCTGCACACTTAACTGAACAACTGTAGACTCTTTTGAGAGAGCATCAGTGTCTAACACATGGGGACATGTATTATGCTTCTAGAGTGTTGCAATCCATTAAGTACATAATTCTCCCCAAGAGGATGTGTATATTATATAACTTCTGATTGTTGAAAGCATTAGCAAAGAAATGCCTCGAGATGGCCAGCAATAAACTTACATAATTTTCTACTTTTCTTTCGATAAGAATTAACTTACAGAAAATTGATCTGCTAAAACAGGTTTCTCTTCACATCTTCCAGGGAACAGCTGCCACCGCTGAAAATCACCACTGTAACTTCTTCCGATGCTTCCTGCCCTAAGAAAGCAAACAAAAGGATTATATAAGACACATTTGCAAACAAACTGATCTGCTAAAATGGTTGAAACAGATCACAACTGAAACAAACACACAAAAGAAATAAATTGGGAAAACCAAAAGTTCTCCTGTGAGAAACGGTAAATAGATACAGTACAGTAAATATATTTAGCTTCAATAATAATTCCCTGCATCTTGTGACATTCAACGATGTCTTTGGTTATCAAAAAATGAACCTTCAAATATGATATGCAAATAAATGTATATTCAAGTATGATATACACAACATACGTCTATCTGCCCCACCACCGGCAACGTCTTAAAAAATCATCTTGTTTCTCTACAAGCAAACTGCCCCAAAAAAGCAAATACTATGCACCCATAAAAGGTTGACCTTCTCCCTATATATCTTCTCTATCAAATTAATAGAAAATTAAAAACTGAAAACCAAAATGATAAGGTTTTCAAATGGACCCTAAACTACACGTAACCAGAAAGCTTCAAATACACACAACAAGATAGACATATGCACAAAAATATGTCTTGACATTGCATAAAAATTTGTCTTACTTCTATACTATGCAATTGGTTATGCTTATGTGAGAGAGAGAAAGCGAGAGAGATTGATGAGTTACCCAATACCACCAAGTGGGACACCATGACTAGACGTTAGAGAGCGCTTCGCAAATGGATCAATGAAGCCCTCCTGCAGATAAAAAACAAACAGGGGTGTCCGTGTTAGGAAGAAATTCAATTAGATGGATCCCCTAAAATAAGCAATCATCAAAGTAACTATGCTCATTTTACATTAAGAAGATTACCCTTTCGTTAGCAGCTTCTTCTCGTATATGACGCCATAGGCGAATACCTATTGGAGCCTACCAAAAACGAAACACACAATATTGTTGAGAGAAACAATACAAGAAGGTAAAGGTCAGATATCAAATGGCAGTCTCCAGTCAATACGTCATTTGTTCAACTTCATATATGGTGCACTTCAAACTTCATACATTCATATATGGTGTACTTCAAACTTCATTCATTCTATATTGTTTAAAAGACCTTAACTCTTTCCAAAAGAGTACATAATTAAGTGTTTCTAACTCAAGATATGAACATGAAATCGCACGACCCACAGGATTTTAAGTAAACATTTATATTGAAATTTCCAAACTTACCAAATGAATTATCTCTTTTAAACTTAGAGTGAATGGCAAAGGTGCACTGCCCTTGCTGTTTAATTTTCGTTGCCATGTCAGCGATGCAGGCTTCCCAGGGTCGACCTTAATCCAGATAAACAAAAGAAAGTACATATTAGAGAGCACCCAATAGCACAAAACTTTCAAGTCTCAAACAAATTTCAATCAACAGTCTTAGGTCACTCGTCAGATCTTAATTACATCACACGGACTATGTTAAGTAATAAAAAACCCACTATTTTTATTGGCCAAAGCCAGCATTCCCCAGTGACAGATTCTAAGCGTTTTCTTCAATTTTCATATTTAAAGAGTAGAGACATGAACACAGTGGGTCTTCAATATAAAATGATGCAAAGTAATCAGCCTTCCTTTCTATACTTGAAGACATTGAAAAGTTAGACTGAATACAATTACTTCATCTATTAGCACAGTTGCATTGTCACAATTATCCGTCTCCTCTAAGATGCATACGAAACAGATGCTGAAACTAAAGCCTCGAAGACATATTCAGCAGAAGTTAAAAGTCACAGGCTTTTCGTAAGAGAATGCAAAGTCAGTAATTAGCCGGATAAGTACACGAAATTCATCTTTTGAAGAATATAAGGACAAGTTAAAAGTCAAAACCTTTAATACACATCAAAAACAGGTTCAATTTACTTGTTTCAAACAAACAGGAAATGCTGCTACAAATAATCTGTATTGATCCTACCTTTTCAAGTGAAGAATCCGAATGCTCGTAATCTCTTTCAGCAAACCCATTCTCCAGTATCTTCTTCTCAGGCATGTTTCCTGTATCAAACAAAACAGTACTTAATCGGACAGACCGCAGTTACATGATTAATTAATAATGTTCTTCATCTTATCATGTGCCTTCAGTTAACTGGAAGTTAAGAACATCAACACAGGCATAGAAATTACAGCTACCATTTTACCTCGATAAGTTGGTAACAAAAAAATGCCCTTTTCCATCCTCTCATCCACCAAAAAAAAAAAAAAAAAAACTACTGCAAATAATTTCAGAGAATTCTCTGCAAGATGATCAAAATTACAGAAGTGGTAACCCAGATAGTAATGTTGTGGATAACTGTAGGACCCACATTCCTTTGACTTTAGGTGATCACTTTGCAATGCATCCTGAATCCGCAGGATTATTGAAATTTGCAATTCACACAACCTCAAATTTCATAACAAAAACACAAAAGAAACAGAACCCAATTGCGGAAATAAACAAGAACACAAATCAAGATAAAAAATCTTCATGACCGATTTCAACTGAACATTAACCCGACCCAACAATCCAAATAAACATAACAAAAACATTGACCTTTTTTTTTTTTTTTTTGATCGAAAACAAAAATATCGACTTGAAAATGCAAAAGAATCGACCCAAAGCGATGAACAAAACTGTGTATATAATTCAAACCTGACAGTTATCAGACTGGAACTCCAACCCAGAGAAACAGGAGAGGGAGGGAGAGGGCGGGCGAGAGAGATGGAGAATAATGCTAATGGTTAAAGGCCGGCCTTTGACCGTTATGCATGTCCAATCCAAACGCAATAAAACCCAACAAAAGTCTATAACTCCGACAGCATGACAACGACATTGAGATATTTGAAGAACTATTTCTCTTCTGTTTTGTTGGTTGGTGAGTGAGATGTCCCGGTGTCTCGGTTTTCTTTACGTTTGAATTTCGGAATGAGACTTGTATGTTTATTATTTTAACACACTTATCTGATTAAATCCACAACTTATAGGAGGTTTACCGCTGTTTGATTGGTTAAGTTGTCGATTTCTGGTGTTCTAGTAACAAAATATAGTCGGGTAGGCAAATTAATGGTACTGTAAAAACATATTATACTGTAACGACTTCTATGATAATGTGACAATTAATTTAATATTCGTAAATGTTTTAAGTCTTGTGCCAATGTATCACTTAAAAATGAGAGTTTGGAAGCAGTGTGCTTAAGTATTTTTTGTTGGAAGAGTAATGTGCTTAAGTAAAAATAAATTAACATGAACTAGTGAGATTACCTTATCGTTTTTCAAAAAATAAAAATAAAGAATTTGAAATAGTACATGGCTTCAATTTCTCATAAAATGGTGGGCTTCTTATTTTTTTTCTTTTTCTTGATTTGTCTTGCGACTCTAAAAGAGAGTCCAAGATGATTCATGTCGAATTAAAGTATGGTCGTTGAGATATGGTAATCAAGAAATTACACACTCTAAACGTGAGTTAGGCTTCTTGATCATAATATCGTATCCGTCATTTCGCATTCAGTACAAATCAGTTGTAGTTTACATTATTTACGTTTAAAAAAAGGATAAGTATACTTTCATTTCTGTTAGGGCTAGTTTGGGGTTGCTGTGTTTTTTTTTTCTTTTCAAATTGCTTCTATTGTGCTGTGAAAATAAATAGGAGTGAAAAAAACAGATAAGTGTTTGGTAAACTATGGTTCACTTGCTTTAATGGAAAAAAAAAAAAAAAACCACTTTTTTTTAGAAGCATGTGTAGTGCTACTTCTAATTTTGTTGTTACGGACCCATGATTTTGAATTTTTTTTTTCTCACATTTACCAAACATAATTAAGGCTCCAACTTTTTTTTTTTCAACAAATGATATTATTTACACTGAAAGAAGAATGTATGCTCAGCCTCACAATAAGTTAGCAATAATGTGGTTTATATTCTCTTTTAGCGAAAATCGAATCTAAAATTTCTCATTTATAAATGAAGATAAATAACACTAAAAAAAATTAAACTATTTCTTGATTTATGCTTGTCATCTTTGCCCAAGCTCTAACTTTTTTAAACAGCTAATCCAAATCCAAAAAGCTACCTTTACCAAAACTTTATGCAAATCTAAGACAGGGAACTTTTTTAAAAAGCTACTTTTACAAAAACTTTATGCAAATCCAACAGTGAGAGCATTGATTCCCAGTTAAAAGTTAAAATCTTTATTACTGTTACCGGAAAAAATTGCGTAAGAGTAAAAACGTACCCCCCAAATATTGTACCACATCAAACTAAACCTTGTTTTTTCCTTCCCAACAGGATCCTCTCCGGATCTTTTTGGTAAGGATCCTAGTGATCCGTGAATCGTGTTCATTAATCGTACATTATGCGATCAGATTTTATTAAATACTATTTATGTTTAATTTTAAATAAAAATATTTAAAATAATTTATGACTTCACGATATACAATGAATGGACAAGATTGACGGATCTCCAGAATCCTCACAATGAGGATCCGGATGTAAAAATTGACAAGTAATTAACCTCCAAAGGACTAAAAATACTGAAAAGTACAAACTAATTGATAGCTTCAGGCATATACATCGTACTATATACTAGAACAACAAAACCATCTCAAAGTTACGGGATTTACTCGGTAATACCTTAACTCAACATCATGGACTGAGAAGTTACAGAAGCGCTGATACATGTCATTTCGTCAAAGGGCTTTCATCAACAGGAAGGTATTGACTTCCAAGAGACCTTTAGTCCAATTGCCAAGCCAGTTACAATTCGGATCTTACTCATTCTTGTTGTCCAATATAATTGGTTTCTCAATCAATTGAATATAAGCAATGCCTTTCTTCATGGTGACTTAAAGGAGGATGTCTACATGCAACAACCTCCCGAGTTTGTTGATCCAAATTCTCCGAATTCTGTTTGCAAGTTGAAGAAATCCCTATATGGACTAAAACAAGCCCCTCGAGCTTGGTTTGATAAACTATTTCAAGCTCTTCATTCTCTTGGGTTCCAACAATCTTCATATGATGCCTCCTTGTTTGTTCTCAATGGTCCTCATTTAGTTATTGTTCTTGTGTACATTGATGACATTCTAGTAACCGATTCTAACTCTCAACTCTGTCAACAGTTTATCACACAACTCAGTTCTCAGTTTCCAGTAAAGGATCTTAGTCTTTTACACTACTTCTTGGGCTCAAAAGTACACAGATCCTCACAAGGAATTTTTGTTCATCAATCCAAGTACTTACTTGATCTTCTTAAGAAAACAAACATGGAGGGTGCCAAACCGTGCTACACACCACTTAGTTCCACGAAATTAGATAACAGTGGGCCTCTCTTGTCCAATCCCACTGAATATCGTTCTATTGTTGGAGGGTTACAATACCTAACTTGGACTAGACCAGATCTTGCTTTTGCTGTCAACCAGATCTACCAATTCATGCATGCTCCTAGGGAACAACATTTTCAGGCAGCTAAACGAGTTCTCCGATTTCTTAAAGGTTATCTTTCTCACGGTTTGTGGTTCACAAAGGGTCCAATCCATCTTTCAACATACTCTGATGTTGACTGGGCTGATTGCACTTTTGATAGAAGATCTACAAGTGGCTATTATGTGTTCTTAGGCTCCAATCTCATTAGCTGGAGTGCTAAGAAACAAAGTACTATTGCACGGTCATCTACAGAAGCTGAATATCGCTCATTAGCTCATACAGCTGCAGAACTTACTTGGGTTTGCAAAATCCGCATAGATCTTCACTTCCCTATCCTTACACTGCCTACACTTTGGTGTGACAACATCTCAGCAATCTCCCTAGCATCTAATCCTGTCTTTCATGCTCGTACAAAGCATGTTGAGATCGATTACCACTATATTCGGGAATTGGTTCTGGCTAATCTTCTCAAAGTACAGTATGTTTGCAGTGAAGACCAATTAGCTAATCTTCACACCAAGTCCCTATCCAAAAGTCAATTTCAGTTCCTGTGCTCCAAGCTTCCAATTGGAATCTGTTCTGATTCCCCTTTTAGCTTGAGGGGGTGTATTAGGGAAATTGACAAGTCACCCATTTCAGTTACTGTTAAATAGTTTGTTATCTCTAAATGTAATTAGCTATGCTAATGTTTGTGATTAGTTAGAACTGTTATAAGGTTAGGCAATTAAGGGTTATCTTTGTAAATAGCCAAGGGCTATATATATATATATATATATATATGTCTTCACAGTGTACAAATGATTATTTAGAAATATAATTGAAAGCTTACAGAGGAAGTTTCCAGTTTCTATAAGTTCGAGTTACAATGAATTCTCCGTCTGGGGCCCTTCCAAACATAAAACGTTGTGGGGACCTTTTGCTATCTAACTCTTCACTCGTACTTTCCAAATCAAATAACTCTTGCATGAATTACTGGTATGTTCGAGTACAAGTACGTGTTGACTGGTTTCGAGTTTTTAATGAATTCTGATTAGTCGATTTCATACTATATATTATTCCCTATTTTTGGTATATTTTGGTTATTATTTTGGTGAGATTTTATACTAAGCCGTTTGACCGTAGCAATGAAATAAAGGCCCAATGCGCAGCTTTTCCAGATTGACATTTCTGGACGTTTTGGGCATTTTGAAGGTTAAGATGGAATATTTTGAGAAATATTCCTTCTGAGGATTTGTAAGGGACGTCTTCAACTTTCAAAAGAGACCTTTTTGGACCAAGTCGGAGTTGATTTGGTCGGTTAAAAGTCTGATTTTCTAAGAAGTCTGAATTTTAGTTTAAATAGAACCTTTTATTTTCTGGTTTATTTTTTTATATTATGTTTCCTAGTTTTATTCTAAGACTTTTTAGGGTTTTATTTTGTAGTAGTATAAATAAGACTTTTTAACTGTTAGGGTTAGTAAGGAAGGAGAGGTGGAAACGCACACACAAGCCTTTGACAATTCAAGTTTATTTTCTAGGTGTTTTCTTTCCATGTTTTTAATAAATTTGTTTTATGAAGAGGGTTTCTTGTGATTAGTAATTATAAGTTCACTTAAGGCGAACATCATACTCTTAAGGGTTGCATGGTTTTTCAAAAGATTTTCACAAAGCTTAATGAGTCTTGCATATTTATATTTGATCTGAACATCACAGATGAATTGCATGTTAGATATACGTTTTCGCTTGAACATCACGAGAAACATATGCATTAGGAAAACCTAACCTTCAAAGCATGTGTGTGGAAATTCGTAAGTAATTGATAGAATTGCAAAGGATTGTTAAGGAAACAGCGAAACCTAGGCTTTACAAATTGACTTCATCTAAATCGTTCTCTAGTTAATTTCTTTAATTGTTTTGTTTTAAAATTCGTTTTTATTATATTAAATTCTAAAATCAACATTTTCCAAATTTTGTTTTCAATAATTAATTAAGAGTTGGTTTTAAACACAAATTATTCATTCAATCTCTGTGGAAAACGACTTTGTTTGAGCTGCTATACTACGACAACCTTATACTCTTGCAAGTATTTTTAAGTGTTTTTATCCCTACTTTTGCAGGTGGTAAAAATTCCTATCAAATTCTTCCTTCCAGATCCAGGAAAGCCGGCAGAAATGTTTCAGAGAACATCAACAGATTTCTTCTGCAAATATGATATCAAAGATGAATTGAACTGCAAAAAGAAGAGAAAGAATTACCAAATATCAAATGGACCACAAAGGATAGATGATTGACCAAATATCAAATGAAACAAAAGGGCAACGGTTTCAGTTTCAATTCCACGTCAATTAACTTGTCAGAACCAGTCGTAACACAAATATTCGTACAAGAAAATGGAAGGAAAGTGGCTCAAAGCATATATAGTTGAAAAGATTGGTATAACGCTCTCACATATTGTATCTTACCTTCCTCCTTGGGGATGTTAGGCTGATCAACCAAGAGCTGCTGGAGTGCTCCCAAATCACTGGCACTAGAAAATTGATGAACGAACGTCAAGTACAAAAGCTTAGTTCTTAAAAGTAGGAAGAAATATGTTGAAATATGACCATGTTAAAAAATGGCTGACACATCTGCAGATTACACCGAGTTCCAAAGTGTGCCAAATTTATAGTAGACTAGTAACTGTAACATAAAAAATCCAAGTACACTGGAGGTCCAAATAAAGTTCAGCCTACTGATCTGAGCTCCCAAAATCCCCAGCCCGGAAAAAATGGAATGGAAACTCAGAAATTGAGAAAGTTGAACTACAAACATATAAATAAGTGTGGGCTGCGAGGGCGGTGAGCTGAATCTCAACACAGTTCATTCTCCCTCGATGTTGCATGCTAAAGAAGAATAAAAGTTGCATTAAATAACATCTTCCAAACTACAACAGAATCTCTTCACATTTGGAAGGATCAAGTTCCTAAACAAATTAGAAAGGTAAAAATATCAGTTCTGATTAGAAGATAAGTACTTCGCACACCTGGGTTTCAAGGTCAGTTCTGACAGTGCTGAAACCAATGATGACTTCAAAAGGTACCTGATAAAGGAAGGGGAAAAGAGAAAATTATTCATGATCTCGAGTCTCAACCAATATATAACCCGAAAAGAAAGTTTAATTACATTGGTGCGTGGTGTGCGACTGTGTGTGTGGGCAGGAGAGGACCAGACATTTTGCAGCAATTTAGATTAAACTTCCAATACATCCAATTACCATAAAGTCACAGAAAAATAGGAATGACATCTGGCGAAACCTCGTTTGACATCTCAAAGCTAGCACACAACAATTATCGTTTAAGACACCAAAGAGTTACATACTCAGAGCAATGCATGTCCTGGAGAAGCATAAGCCCATCTAAGCAATCCGCAAGACTGGGCTTTACGCCAATTCGTTGCTGCAGTTGTTTTACACTCAGCTGACCAGAAGCACCGCCTTTTACCATCTGCCTACCATCACGATGGATCTTCCCAAGAGACAGTACAATACCATGAAACTCTTCCCTGAAAATAACAACACAAGTTTAACCTTTCCCCCCCCCCCCCCTTTCCACCTAAAAAATGACTGGTAGCACTAGATATACGCAAATAAGCACGCTATGCTTTCAATTGGAATAATCATGGTTTAGGACTGAAATGGATGCATTCATAATAAATTTCAGTTACCACCACAACAACAACAAAACCTTATCCCACCAAGCGGGGTCGGCTGTATAAATCCTAAAAAGCCACAGCTTTCGGTTTTGGGCCAAGTCTAGCTGCCGTAGTCCCGGTTACCAGTACCAGAGAGAAAATAACAGGAGGAAAGTTACTTACATGGTTTTCTTCATGGAAAGGAAGATGTTTTGCAATGATTCCATCTGCTTTGCCAGTAGTGCCTCTTCGATACCAACGACATCTTTCAAACGGCCGTAGTTCTTGGAATCTTGAAGCACCTGATCAAAAAGGCAAAGTTAAGAAATGAAACCCAAGTTGTAAATTAACAAAAGGCATATCAAGAAATGGTTTTTCTTTGGTGTGGGTTTGTTTTTCGTGGCTGCATATGGAAGAAGCAATTGGATAAGAAGAGGGGGTTCGAGACCTGCAACCTCTCAATGATGGAGGAGGCGTTCCTGAACTGCGAAATCAAGCGAGACTGAAGCAGGGCCCAGCTATCCATCTCATCCTTCACCTTCCTGAACCTCTGCTGGTACCTCTTCACCATCGCCTCCATCCCCACGACACCCACTCCACACAGAGAGTCAGAGCCGGACTCTAAGAGGGTAGCCGAAATTTTAAAATTTTGGTTTGCTTGTAGAGACGGGTCGAGTTCGAGTTCGAGTTCGAGATTCCACCTCTTTCGCATGTGGCTGCGGCTGTGTTGGTGGTGAGGCGGAAATGAATTGACGATGGGTGGGTTGTAGGGTGGAACCGTGCAAGGGTGGGTGCGTGGTCCATTTTAGGTTTTTAACTTTAAATTATTATCTTCCTAATCATTACTAACCTTAAATTATTTTCTTCCTAATCATTATTAACATTTTGAAAATAATTATGATTGAGGAAATGACCAAGGAATGTATGACATTCCAGTAAAATTTTAAATTTGTATATGAGATTGTAGTGTTTTAAAACTTGAAAATGCAAAATGTAATTTAACCATCATAATTATTCTCACAAACACAAACTTTTCGTCCCACTTTAAACTTGTAATTTACCTACCCCTTGTGAAGCTATAGGTCCCATAGCAAAAGTAGCATATTGAGGACCCGCAATAAAATTCAAACCAAAAGTTACAAAGATGGAACTTCAAATAGAAAAATGTAAAGGAGGAGCTGGAAGAGCAATACTCTCTCAAGCCATCCTGCAAAATAAGCAATCAAGCACACGGAAACACAAGCAACATATCGCCCCGGCACAGAAACCTCAGCGAAACTGCAGAGATTTCAAGTGTTTTTTTTTTTTTTGGTTTGTTAGATTAGATGTTTGATTAAGGAGCCAATGGAGTTCGAACCAACACCGTGATGCAAGAACAACACTCCTCTCCACTACTATGATAGAGAACCACTTGCGATTTTGAGGGTTCAGTTAAAATACTTGGTATTCCATTACACCACGTAACAACCGAAAACTTAAACCACTCAGACGATCGATGGATTGAGAAACAACAAACCGGTCCCGTAGATTTTGAGCAAACGAGTCTGTCTGCAATTTGGTAGCTAATCTCATCCAACCGGAAAACAAAATCATGTTTCAACTCAACAGATTCGAATCAAAATCGAAAGGTTTTGCATATAATAATACAATTAGATCTTCACTTCAGCAAACAAGGAAGGTGGATTCACAGAGAGCGAGAGAGAGAGAGAGAGAGAGAGAGAGAGAGAGAGAGAGAGAGAGAGAGAGAAATCATATCATGAATTCGATCAAGCAAGCAAAAACCCATCACTAATCTGAAGAAAACTAGAAAAACAAACCAAGAATAAAAATCCTTATTCAAAAATCTAAACCCTTTACAATCAGTTTTTCTTTACCACAAAATTGATATTGATATTGACCAGGCGAACTCAGTTGCGGCTGCATGCTTCTATCTAGCTGTGGTTCCGTGACCTTGAACTACTGGTGAGTGAGATGATGGAAGGGGGCGCATGGGCCACCCGAGCAGCGGAGGTGAGTCCGGGGGTGATGCATCTCGACTAGGAGAGAAGAGGCTCAGTTCCACAAAGGGTACCCTAGAAGAACCCTCCTCCCTTTCCAAAGTACGAAAAGAAATTGATCCACGCTTTGCTGACACATCAGAGTTTCTACATGGGCTGATTCCAGAACTTTCCTCCATATGACTCTGGTTAGCAATAAGAGAAATGGTGTCATTTTGATCATCATTAACTCTCCTACTCTCCAAGTCCTGTAAACTCCCCAGGGCTAAAGAATCCGCAACAGGGCAGTAAACAAGCATGCATATACACACCCCGGCACAACATAAAAGTGCAAGAAAAGCCAAGAAAGCAAGAACTTCAAACTGAATGTGCTCTGGTTTAGATAAAACAGAGAAACCAAGCAAAGTAACTCTTAATGGAAGGAAACTTGAAACCGAGAATATCAATGTATAAACTCTCTTCTGTAGACCCTTGTTGATGACCAATTTCAAAATCTGCCTTCCAAGCCAAAACAAATAGGCAGTAAGAATGATTGCAAAAATCCCAAGGAGGATGGTACTCAGCAAGGGGTAAGTGCAGAGGGCAATGTGATCAGTCTTGTGCACTGTACTTGTGAAGTAGGAAGGCAATTTACGTAAACTCTCATTCCCGTAGAGTTCGGGTCCAATTAAAATAACAAAGAGCTGAAGAGCAAACACTGGAAGGCAAAAGAAAAGAATGTAACCAGCTGTTTTCCCATTCCACGTTTGGCTTAGAATTCCAGTCTCCATTGTTTGCAAGGGCGCACGAAGTAGAAACACAAGCGTCAGGAATAGGCATGGTTCTGCAAACCCAAGGTTTGAGACAATGTAACATTTGCAAAGAGTCTCCTGCCATTTCAAGTTAAGGGCGTTCAACACTCTCCCCTCACGTCTCAACAAACTTAAACGGACAATTTCACCGAAACCCCACCAGATTGCAAACACGATGAAAGTAATTCGGATAATCCAAGGGCCACTGAAATAACCCAGCTGAATAAAACCCTGACTACGAATGCGAGAGCGAAAATAAAACAAGTAAATAATGCAGAGGAAACCAAGAAGGATCAAGAGAGCAACTAGACATATGGTCAACACACCGAGTGTATCGGCAGCAATACTCGTCAGGGGCATTACCCGAAGCACAGATTCCACGCATGCTCTCTGCCAGCATGGATACAATGATCCTCTAGTAGCGTAAACGCTTCCTTCCCACAATTAACGAGAACTATCAAAGCAGTTTAAATAGTAATACCAGAAGATTCTCATCGCACTCATAGATATATCAATTACTGAAGTTGATGTTTCCAGGACATTCCCGTGAACAACCATACAGCACCAACACTATCTGAACAATGTTGGGCTCTTAGGTTGATTATGTGACCCACACACCTGCAAAACAGATGGAAGAAAACCATGAGCACACAAGGGTTTACAAAGATTGAAGATTAAAAAATTTATGGTTACAATCAACATAACTCAGATAACTTAAACTTTAATTAAACAACAAGCTAAACAATAGTACACCAATAAAAATTTATAACTGCCATCCCTGAAAGAAAGGGTAAAAAGGTCACACAAAATAACCAACCCCATATAAGATTGTCAAAACATAATAAAGACAAGTGCGTACCACTTAAAAGAGGAAACATGAAAGAATAGCTTTTACTCGAGGCAAATAATAAGTGATTACAGATTCTATGAATATGTCAGATTTTGCAGGTACCAATTTTTGCATAAAAAATTAGAGCACGTCAAAGTGTCTGCGCACCCAAATATCTACTCTTTGTAATAGAAGAGATCTACATGTCCAGAAAGAAGAAGTGCGGATGGAATCTCATTGCTTGCGTAACATACTTCCCTCGGCATTGTGAGAACTAGTTTCGAACGATTGACGTGCTTTTAAAGCTTACGAAAATATCAATCAAACTACATTACCTCTCTTCTCACAAAAGAGTGTTTGCTCTAAACTGCTTATACTCTTATAATCTGACAAAAATCTTAGTATTGCATCTAATTCATGGACACTACTGATATTCTATCGAGCTATATCGACGTGCGCAAACAAATCATAAAAATGAAAACAAAAAAGAAACCAGGAAGCCTAAGGTTGTTCATTTATTTGATATCCATTATAATAGACCCAAAAACTGGAAAATATAGTTTGAATTTATAATCTAGTTTCTTTTCATTTCCTACCATTTCTCAGCAACCAAACAGTCCTTAAACATCAAACCGAATTTCAAAATAATAAACCTTGCACAAACATTATATTCCAAATCATTTCCAGAAGAAATTACAAGAAAACAAAAGTCACAAAAATGACTAAAAAATAACTACACCCAGAAAAATTAAACGAATTATGAATAACACAAAGAGAACAGCAAGCCGCAAACATAATAGAAACCCTAAATTCAAGAAAAGATGGCACAAATTAGTACGAATTAAAGCAAAAGGGAGATCAATCGAGATCTTACAGAGCCGAGAATCGTGATCTGCTGAAGCCGAAGCCTGAAGTGCAGAATCGGACGAGAAGATCAGCAAACCCTAACTTGCACAGAGAGAGGAGAGAGAGGAGGGAGAGAGGGAGAGAGGGAGAGACAGAGAGAGAGAACAGAGGGACTGGAGAGAGAGAGAGAGAGAGAGAGAGAGAGAGAGACTAGTTAGGGGAATAGGTGAGTGGGACTTTGTTGGTGACAGCCTGTTTCCAGCTGTGTCGTCCGAGCCTCGTGGTTCGAAAACTGAGTAGGCTTGCTTCGCTTTCTTCTCGAGCCTACGTGGCAATGTCGTGGCGGCGTTTACTGTGAGTGTCCTTTTTCTCCTGTTTATTTTTCCGTTGAGGACAATTCTTTTGGGAGATCGGGCAGTGGATTCTCGAGTTTCCTCTTCTACACATTTTTGACTAAAACAGCATAACCCTTTGCAAAAATATAATTTTAATTTCTTAATATGTTAGTTGTAATAATTTGGTATAAACATGACATCGATAATCGAAGTTAAAACTTCACATACAAGTAAAGAACAATACAACTTAAAAATAATTTTTTCTAAATACGACGATAGATTCAATTAGAAAAAACATTATTAGTACAAAACTTCGCCAACAAACAAACAACTAATTGATGCACTCGTTAAATAATAAATTTTGAAATGAGATTTGAAGGATTCTCAAAATAGTTAAACAACAAGTCACAATGAAGAGCATAACGAATTAACTGATAAGCATCACCATTGGCTTGGCGTTGTACATGGTAAAAGTTACTCCAATGATTGTAGAGAGTAGATACTATGCATCTTTGACAATAGGTCAAACGAAATACAAATTGACAAAAATATTCTTCAATGCTATGACTCAGCTATACGCGGAGGCGCGTAAATTTGATTCAAACAGTTGTAGTCGACAAAGTAACAAATAAAAAAGCACAAAATAAGTGCTTCTTTTAAAATGCACTCAAGCAACTCGAAACGAGCCCTTGAAATCTTGGCTAATAGTGATAGTGATTTTAGCATTATTTTACTATAATTAAGAGAGCACGACTTGTTAACCCTTTTTTTTTTTTTTTTCTTCTTTCCAAGACTTGTTAACCTTTTTGAAAATTCTATCCATGTCATCATTTTAATATTTACACAAGTCTCCGACTCTCCACTCAACCACAATTTTATTTATATACATTTTCTTATTGAATTAAAAACCTGATTATGTTGACAAAAGACAAGTAAACCCGATACTGAACTCGCACTTGAATTGTAAAAGGTT